TCTCTTGTTTCATTTTTCAATTTTTTTTCCATTTTTGTTTTTTCTAATGTGAAGCACAATCAGTTACATACATTAATTTAATCCATATAGCATAGTGTATAGAAACGATACTTAAAAGCAGCATATAGGTTACATCATTTTTTTTTTTTTTGGCTCAAGCAGTACTTGTATTCAAACCATCCGTAAAAATTAAAATTTTTCACATTTTCATTTTTATTATATATCAAAAAATTATAAACTTTGCTCAGAAAGGGAATTATATGTTGTGCAGTTTCTGTTTCCAAACCTAGAGGAGCTGCAATTGTCATGGATTAATGTTGACATGATATGGATAACATCTTACTGTGTAGAGAACGTGACGAAATTGATCATTCATGGCTGCCATAACTTGAAATATCTATTCTTATCCACCATGGCTAGAAGTCTAGTGAAGCTTGGACACCTTGAAATAAGGGAATGCAAGATGATGACAAAGGTTCTTTCTAAAGAGGATGAAGAAGGAAAGGGGAATTTGATTTTCCCTGAGTTGAAATTTCTACAGTTAGTGCAACTCCAAAACCTTGTTAGCTTCTACTTTGGAGATTCTACCATTGAGTTCTCATTCTTGAATGAATTGATTGTATGGAACTGCCCTGAGTTCAAGGGTTTCGCAGTTATGTCTACAAGCACAGATGTTGCAGCAGATATTCAGCCCCTCTTCAACGAACAGGTATGCCTTCATTTCACTTGAATTTTGGCTTTAAAACTTTGGGAGCTTTCTAATTTTCCTTATCCTTTTTCTCTCAATGGCAAGATGTGTTGGGCTTTTTTTTTTTTTTTCACAAAGAAATGGATAGAAAATTAGAAAGGAGATGATGAGCATAACATAACCTGAAAATGGAGAGAAGTTCAACACTCCAACTCACTTCTTGACTAACTTTTGCTCTATATATAGCGGAAAACAACCTAAAAAACAAGGCAAAACTCATTCTTAAGCTCCTAAACTTTGCCCATATTAACATGTAGGACCCTGAATTATTTTTAAGCATATGAGCCCTTGAACCGCCCAATCAATGCAGATTAGCCCTTCAGGCTTCAGCTGACCGTCACTTGCCGTTTCCACATTGCTTGTGTGGCATTCAACTTTCCCATGTCAGATTGGGCTTTGAAGTTGCTTTTTTATAGTGTTTTTTCCTCATAATATATCATAAAAGTGTTAGTTTATTAATTAATGTAATTTTAATTAATATTTTATATAATTTAATAGTTATATTAATATATAAAATTTTATTTAAAATAATTATTAAATAATAATATAATTTTTTATAATGAAATACTAAAATATTTATTGTTATAGAGTTTTTCACAACAATCTTAATACAACTTGACAACTGACAAGCAAAGTTTAGGCTGACCCATTTAATAATTAAATATAAGTAAATATTACAAAACATTAAAATTCCAAAATTGTCCAATTCTTCTTACTCATCCCTTTCTTTTCTAGTTTCCCCTTTTATTTCTACAATAGTTTCTCTCTCCTTTCTCTAACTTCGCCCCATGTCCATCTTCAAGCAATGGTTGGTTGCTAAGAAACTAAAAGTAGAAATAATTGAACAAAATTGTAGGTTTTCTCCTCAATTGGGTTTAGATGGCAAATGAATCAACCAAAATTTACAAAAGAAAGTTATACAAGCTTTCTACTAATTTTCAAACTCTTTGATTTTCTAAGCAAACAAATAAAGTTTGAGAAATTCAAAAGTCTAGTAATTTCTTCCAACATGTAATTTTATATTTATTTAGAACTGAATCAAAACAAAAACATCGACAATGTTCTGGTGACTTAAAGATCACATCTCTTTTGTAAAGGACTTATATGTATAGTTTGACAGGTATGAGGATCAACTTTCACCCCAATGTTAAAAAAAAATTATATCTTAATATTCAAATTTGACATGAATAACAAGCCAAATTTAGATATGCATGCAATGACTCCCATCAATCTTGATTCTTAAAAAAATTAAAATCTTAATATATATTTAAAAATTACAATTTTAATTCAAAATTTAAAAATTTAATCAGTTTTTAAATTTAAATATCAATATTTAATAAAATAAAATTTTAAATTTTAAATTAAATTTTAATTAAATAAAATGATATAATTTGAGATTAAAATTTTAATTTTAAAAAAAAATCAAAATTAATATGTACTTTTTCATATGTATATGTATATTTAATTATATGTATTGTGCTTAAGTTAAGTAAATCAAATTTAGAACAGTGATAGGTAGGGATGGCAATTTCCCTCGATCCCCGCGGAGCCCCACGAGGATCCCCGTCATGGGGACCGGGCAAGGAGGAATATTCCTCCCCGTGAAGCGGGGATGGGGAGCATTTTCCCCCCGCAAAATTTCGCGAGGAATTTTCCCTGCCCCGTCTGGCCCTGCGGGGATCCCCATCCCCGCAAAAATTAAAATAAATATAAATTAATTTTATTTTAAATTTAATTCACCTTTCAAACTCTAATCCAAATC